GCTGCGTCTTTGAGGTGAAAGGGATTGGCAAGGGGAAGCTCTTTGGGTTTTAGACGTTTGCTGGAAAAAAAAAGTAAAAGAATCCGAAAAAGGAGACTTAAAAGAGAAACGAAACGAATCATACCAAGGGTCTGTCGTGGATAGAGATCGACCCATTGAAATTTACTTGCCATTTGAAAACACATCAACATCTACTAGTAGAACCTGGGGCCAATGATCGAGTGAACAAACTTTCGGGGCCCCTGAGTAGGTTGCGTACACCAAACACAGCGCAAGCATGGTCTAGGCAATGAAAAAGGGCTCATCTTCAAGTTTTTTTCTCCAACATTAGTTGATTATGGCACCAAGAGCTGTCTATCATGACTTTGTAAACAATAACCAAGTCCTTTCATCTTGCTCTTTCACTCCCGCAGCGACGCCCGGCAAACAGATTCTCCCAGAATGTACACTTGATGAGGGTGCGCCGAAAGATTACCCTACACCAAACCCTAGATCGAAAAGAGAACCCAAACACGCCTTAAATGAGTTGCGTGATGTGTCTGTGTTCCTTTTTGGTAATATGTCCAGTCTTTTTTTTTGTCGTGTTCCAATATCCCACCTCTTCTCTCATCCCCCTTTTATCCATGTGGCATCGTCATTTTGTGTACCTTCAAGAGATGAGTGCTCCAATTTCACTGCCGATGCTCTTCTTCGTCCTCCACAGTCCCCGCTTCTTCTCCTTCTTGGCCTTCATCGCGGCCCAGCCCTCTTCGTCGTCATCGTCCGAGTTGCTGTTGGATTTGTCAGGCAACTTGTTCTCCTGCTGCTGGACGACCTTGGGAGGCTGGTCCCATCCCATGGCTCCCGACATGACCGACATGCGTCGGCCAGAGTCCAATTGGGGCGCTTGCGTTACGGGTCTGTAACGGCCTGGTAAGCCCACGTTGCTGCGTTCCGAGGGTGCGATCGAGGGAGCATACCCGGCACCTTGGGCGTGAATACTGGGTGCGTACCCACCACCACCCATGCCTCCGTGAATAGATGGAGCAAATCCTCCTCCGGGAGGTTGAATCCACGAAGAGGAGCTTGGCTGCACCATGCTCATGGTTCTCGTTCGGGGGTCGAGTCGAGGGGGCTCCAGCATGGAATCTCCAAAATAGGACTGGCGCTGGCTGTCGTGGACGGAGGGTGTTCCGACATGGCTCATCGGTCTTTGCATGCCATTCATTCCGTTCATGGCGTTCATGTTCTGACCACCTGGAGTCGCCATCATCTGCATGAACTGCATCTGCATCTGCATAAACTGCTGCATCTGCTGGGTCATTTGAATCTGTGCCTGGTCTCCTGGTGTAAGCATCATCTGGGGCATCTGAGGCATCTGAGGCATTCCGGGCATTCCCTGCATTCCCTGCATCTGCTGCATCTGTTGCATTTGCTGCATCTGTTGCATCTGCGGCATGCCTCCCATACCACCCATTCCGCCGTTCATTCCGTTCATGTTGCTGTATACCATGGAGGCCGGAACTCCGTTGCCAGGGCCAACCGGTGCTCCTGTGAAGGGATCGACGTTAGCCTCAACGTTGGGGCTACCTCTGCGCATAGCCCGGGCTCGTTCCTCGCCAGCGATAACACCGACAAGGCCGCCCACGACGGCTGGCTGCTGGGCACCGGGGGCGGGAGAGCCTCCTCCAAACGTAAGAGACTCGCGCGGCGGTCCGTTGATGAGACCAGCACCCAAGAACGGGTCTTGCGGCAGCTTCCTCGCAAAGGCGGGAAGGTGACCACCGCTTGTTCCCCTCGGCCCTGTTCCCTCGCCCATGCTCGACCCCGGTCTCGCAGGCTGGGGCTGGTTCTGAGCGGATGCACGCAAATCAGGGTTCGAAGCCATGTTCATGAGTCGAGCAGGCGGCTTGTTCTTGTTTGGGAATCCGTGTGCAGCCAAAATGGCAAGCGGCACTTCTTCGTCCTCCTCTCCCTCGGAGCCGTCTGACCTGCCCGTCAGTGGACCCGCGGGGACGGTCAGGTTTCCGAGGTTGGGGGTGCTGAGCGACACCGATAGATTTGGTCGGGTAGCATGCCCGGAAGGGCCGGCCATCGGGTTCTCGCCCGTCACCTTCATCATCTGCTGTCGGTAGACGGCCATGTGAGCCTCCTGCTTCTTCCTTTGCTTGGCTGCTAGCTTCGCCTTTTCAATGTCATCCTCGTCGTCATCATACTGATCCTCATCGTCATCGCGGTTGTCGTCGGAGGCCTTGACCGTTTCGCTCGTGTTGTCATCGCGTTCCTTGTCTCGACGGTACTTCTCGAACTCGGCGGGAGTCATAACTTTGTTTCGGGGCGGGCTGTGATTGTTGTTGTTGGAGATGTAGCGTTGCGTGTTCGCGGGTGGCTTCGGCGGTTGTGCTCTGCTGTTATCGAACATATTCTCCTCCTCCTTCTTGCTGTCCGTTGCATCCCACGCTGTGGAGAATGCATCTTCATTTCTGCGGAATCTCCCGGGTGGAGACGGGTTGCTAGGCTGACCGGAACTGCCAAGAAATCGACTAGCTGCCACCGAATCCTTCAGAAGGTTTGCATCTTCGTCTTCGATGATATCGGATGGCACATTGTTGCGGAAGGCCAGTGGTGAGCCGTGCCGGGGCACTGGGGGTGGTGCAGTAGCCGGGGGAGAGTTGGAACCGGAGTGCAGCAAATTATCATTGGAGTGTTGACTGCTCCATGAATAAGGCGAGGCCTCGACTTTGATGGACTTGTCGATCTTGATGGGCGACGGCTGAGGTTGATTGACTCGGTTTGTTGTGAGGGAACGGGGTCCCATGTTGGACTTGTCGTTGCCGGGAAGCGTCATTTGGCTAGCTCTTTTGTCGAACCCGGAACCTTTGAACATATTACCAAAATTACTGCCAAAGTCGAGGGCAAAGTCCTCCTCGCTGAGCTTGGGAGGCGTGGCAGTTCTGTCGGTGGAATCTGTCAAACCTCTCGGTCTGCGGGTATTATGGTCGTCCTCCAGCGACGCCTGGGGAGGCAAGGGCGGAGGAGGTAGAGGATGGTCGTCGACGGGGACTTGATTCTTCTTTTGACCGCCAAAGGAAAAGGTTCTGCCGGCTTTGCTAAGGAACCCACCAGAGCTGTGCTTGGGAGCTGGGACTTCGGTCTGTGATTTTCTAATCGAGGGTTTCCATTCTTCCTGAGCCCCTTGGTGGCCGAGGTCAGCCGAAGACGGTGTGGTTGAGACGTTGCTGTGGCGCGAAGAAGTATCTGTCGAGGTTGTTTTGGTGGTATTAGATGACCCACTTCCCCTTAAGCTGAGTCAGTCGACGTTAGACACAATCCTTGCCATGGCCCTGAAATGAATTGCAGACAGGGGAGGGAAATCGAGACAGCAAGTAAAAAAAGACCACTAGCAGGGCAACAATCCGCCGCTGAGTCCGAGACATGCCGCTGTGGAATGCATGCCAACCCTCTTTTTGCTGCTTGCTTTCCAGGTCTCGCTTTCTTGCTTTCTCAATCCCACCTCCTCCTGCCCTTCAGGGCCAAGAATGTGTTCTAAAATGGAAACGTGATTCAAAGGAAAATGGACGGGTGCACACATACCGGTTGTTCTTCACGTCTGCAAATATGTTGTTGTCCTCGAGAGACAGGTCCGAGTATTGCTTGGGAGGAATTGCCATCGTGGTTGCCTTGAGCAGCCTGTGACCACCGTCAAAAGACTTTTGTCCTGCTCCAATTCCAACTTCGGTCCTTTCTAAGACACGGAAGGAAGTCGGCCTTTCCTTGGTCGTTGTCTCTACCGGCTCATCATGGAACTCTTCCGAGTTGACGGTCGATCGCCGCCTGCCGAAAGAGACGGAGAATCTAGGCATATGGATGAACCGCTATTCGTATTTCCCTGTGGGACAGAAACGTTGCGTGTTTACACGCCGAGTAGTTCGAGAAGCGGGCTTCGTAAGGATAAATCTTTGGGGGCTGGCTGTCCTTCGCCTTGGGCTGGGGCCGCAGCGCAGAAAAAAAAAAGCGATACGAGGCGGGTCAGCCGATGTGGGATGACGACAGATAGCTGAGATTCGGGAGGGCTTTGTTTGTGGCTCGCGTCAGTACTCGGTGCGGAGTGTGACACCAAAGTGCGGCAAGCGAGGCGATACTGCGTAGCGGAAAGAATCCAGAGTGTCAGCTGCAACTGCGATCCGTCCTTGGTTGACTTGTGCGCGTGTGTGAGGTATCGCAAAGAGTGTCTCCAGTATGCGACTGAGCTAGGTATGTGTGCCACTCGTGGGGACCGAGGAGACGGGAAGATGGGGAATGAGGGTATTGCGGAAATGGTAGCCGCCAGCAGCCTTAGCGATGGACCTGGGCTCTCAACAACAATGCAATGCTTCTCCCGCTCTCTCGCGCGCCGTGATGTCGCGAATCCGAAGGGGGAGCGCAGCTATGTATAGGCCTGGGCCGGTGGGCTGAGGAATGAGGGAGGACGAAAGGAATGGCTTGATGATGGCTTACCCAAGGGGTCTGTCCAACGAGACAGAATGAGACGGCGAACAGTCGAGAAGGCGACGAGACGAATATTAGTCTATAGAGCGCATGCGAGGACGTGAAACCAAAAGCCGTATGATCTCATTCAAACTTTTTTATCCAAACGTAAAGAGATGCAAAAAAAAGCTGGACCCGGGCTGTACAAGGCCAGAGACGATGGAGATGATGGACAAGCGGGCGGGCTAGGGGGGGTTCGCCGATGCGATGCGATGGGGAGGATGGAAACTGGGGTATTAGGATATGAAGAACGAATGAACAAACAGAAACAAAGTCAAGTCGTGGTATGGATGGGCACAACACGAAATGATATGCAACAAATGATGGCAGCAGCAGCGAGGGTCGGCGAAGCAGACAACGAGAGGTTGGAGACTTGGAGCGAACGGTGGGCGGGTGGGAATGTGGAAAGGAGGAGGCGATCCGATCAGTAAGGAATTAGGCAAGGCAAGAGAAAGTGAGTGAGCGAGAGAAGAGCCAAAAAGGCACGGCCAAGTCTAACGCAGGCCAGCCAAGTGTGAGGGTCCCCGTCGACCAAACAGGGGCATGTCAGAAAGAACGTGAGCAGGGCCAGTCCAGGTCTCCAGGTCTCCAGGAGAGAAAATATGAAAGGTCGATGCTCTCCTCTGCTCTCTGCTCTGCTTTGCTTTGCTCCTCTCCTCACTTCTGCATCCCATGTCCCGCGTCCCGCGTCCTGCGTTCTTGGTGGGCCATTTTTCTAGTTCCTGCTGATGGTCTGCTGCTCTGGGACTCTGGGCTTTGTGAGTCTGGTCTGCTTTCTCCCACATCGACGCACTTCCCTGGTTCCAACACCCAGTCGCAGGGCCTATTTTTATTAGGAGAGTGGAGAGACCAAGCAATAGTTGCTGGAAATAGTGGGCTTGAGGCAGCGCTTCACGCGAAATGTCGAGCCAGCCCACCACCGTTCCTTTCACTTGTGACTTCACAGCCTGGTCGGCCCGCTGCCAGCATACCTGCACAGCTGCCTTGCCTCTTTGCTCTGCAGTTTTTCCCTGGTTCGCCCTGCTAGAATTCTCTGGGCCCAGGGGTTCAGGGTCAGGGATCCAGGGGAAGGGGGTGTGTGCGGAGAAAAGACGAGAAGGGGGGAATGGTATTGAGGATTCGAGGGTTTTGGGCTGCATGGCATTGGATGGGCAGCTTGGGATGACGATGGGATGGCCCGGAGATCGCTCTACTGCCATGTCTGAGGAACGTATAGCGATCGTTTGTTCGTTTGTTCGTCGTCCGCCGTCCTGCTGAACTCTGGTCCAAGCCCGCGTGCTGCGTAACTCCTACCCAAAAGACCGGATGGTAAAACGGGAGATGAGAGACGCCTTCGTTTCCGCCGATGCTATTTTCTTGGATCCTCCAGCAAGTGATGGCTTGCTCTCTCGTTCTCGGTACAAGTGTACGACATGGTCCACGGCCCCGGGGGATTTCGCCATTGTCTCTCTTGGTCCTGAATTGAACCCTTTGAAGGAATCGCCCATTGGGATTAGTGTCGTTGGGTGGCGTCCATCGTCCATTTCCCCCTGGCCGCACACCCTCTTTGGCGGTAATCATACTCGGGGCGGCTTGTTTCTTTCTTCATGCGGAGTAGCGTAGCGGTATGAGCTACTCGAATGTCGCACTGCGTCGTCTGCCTTCAAGGTTCTCGTTACCGATGCGGTACCCCATCCTCTCAGGCTTCAGCTGCACCCGCCATCCAATTGCTGCACCATGGCACTCAGCCCAGCCTCTCGCTGAGGTGTCCTGCATGTTTTCGTTGCCCGGGGCTGCGAGTTCTCAACATCGGCTGAAATGTTGGAAGCTCTGAAGTAAACGCCACCCAGACTTTGGTCTGCCATGCAAGATGTGCCGAAAAACGAGGACAGAACGTGCTTGGGCGATCGGCTGAATTTGACTTTGGAAAGAGAGCCATCCGGACGAACAGACGAGCGCGGATAAGCAGGAGGCTTCGAGTACCTAGGGCATACGAACTAGGTGGTGCACTGAGAAAGCTGGGTCCTCCTTTGTAGACTGTCGGCAGCCTCGGTAGCGACTCGAGGCCATAAAATTAAACTCGGAGCCGCCGCCATCGAATTTTGGAGACGACTGCAGGTCGAGATCCTTGGCTAGTGAGCTAATGGACACAAGTTACAACGGCGGCCAGCAACGACAACGTTTTTCTTGCTCATGCCATGTCTCATACTTCCTTTTCCGTCGGCAGGATGGGGCTTCGAGAAGTGGCTGCAGAGTGTGTAGACAGATGGCTGGTTGCGTATCCAGGAATGAGGTTCGGACATCTGATGACTTTTGGTCAGCGGAAGCCGGATGACTGCCACTCCCGAGTATTGCAGATGATGAAATGTTTCGAGGGTAACTGTCTCATCGCAACTTTGTGTTTTCCCGAAGCAAAGCTTGGTCCTTGATTCGGTAAACCTGCCAGATCCACGCCAATATGAGCTTACCAAGAGCAGAGGAGACTTGGTTGGTAACAAACCCGCCATAGATTTGTCCGAGACCGATCCAAGTCCGGGAGACAAAGCAACGATGGAGGTTCGAATTGACGGGCACTCGCATTCTACCCAGGAGTGCGTGATCAAAACGAATGGACCTGATCAGACTCAAGCTCGGTCGCATCCATGGTGGCATGGCATGTCGTCTGGGACGTCGGATCGATAGCACTTCCAGTCACCCCGGCTCGAAGGAGACACAAAGGACGGCTCCCTGTAGGCCGTGGCCGGGATCGTGTCGGGTTCACGGCGGGTGGTTGACAGGGCAGAGCAGATGTCTGTCCCGTGCATGTACGAATATGTACTCCGTACGTACGACATCTGACTACTTTTATTCCTGAAGGCTCTAGAGCGTCTTCCAAGAATGCCCAGACCGAAAAATACGTCGTCCGGCAGATAGGCGATGGAGACTCGACTCGACTCGACTCGGACGAGGCATTCGTAGACTTGCTTGATTCTCCTCAATGTCTTGTTAACAGCGTCTGTCTGGGATGCGTTCGACTCTCTCTCTCTCTCTTTTCTTTTCTGGTTGCAAGGAAGAAAACAGGAGACAACCGTTTGACGCAGGTGTGGATATGGGACGCGGTTCCATCGGCAGCCACATGTTGCGTCTTCAAGACTAAGACGATGTATAAGAGATGCTGGCAGTCTGGCAGAGCCTGTGGGAGGCGAATCGTATGCCGATTCGCTGAATTGAAGATTTGAGGTTGCCAGTTGCGATGTGGGAGGGGGCGTGAATGGAGGCGAGGGGCAAGAGCCTGGAAGGGGAAGTTGACCGGTGTGGAAGGCAGGCTGGAGGCTCCCGAGGAGAGGGTGGACCTGGAGGCTGGCACCTGACGAAAGTACCTATGTATGTACCTTACTTTGGTAACGTTGGTATCATGAGCATGGGCTGCCGATGCAAGGTACCTTGCTTGGACCTCCATTGCTCTTCGTAGGTATGCCCCGGCCGCTTATAGGACAATTCCATCCCGCAATCACGCAAAACAGAATTGACCAGGACAAGAGCAAAGCGGGATACTTGGGAGAAGCTCTCCCGAATCTTTATTTCAACTCATATCGCCGCTGTCAAGACGGATACCTATGTCGCCATCTGTCGGTACTTTTGTTCCGATCACAACTTTGGCCCATAATTCCCAAGGACGAATACTTGAAAAGAGCCGCCGGACAGGATATACCTGGTGCTCCGGCCTTGATAATACCTTGGCATAAGAGATTAAACACGAATGAGAGGAAGATGCAAGAGCATGTCCGAGATGGGGCGTTAGCGTGACGCTACTCTCGTAGCCCCAGAAGGTCTCCCCAAACACTGAAGACAGACTGTCCTGGAAGCTTGAATAGTGGTTCCTTCAGGCACCAAGGTTCTACTTGTCACTTTGTCTGTACTTTACTACTGCTGCCACCTGTGGCTGATATCTGGCGAAGACGTGTGTGAAAAGGTGAATGAAGATGTGTCTTTCGGGTTGAGGAGGTACTTTATCCGTACTGTTGATGCTTTTGCAACCATGCCATGGCTACCTGCCTTAAGTTGGGTAAAGTGCCTTCCCTTATTGACATCCGTAGTTCATCAACTGAAGTGGCGTGCTTTCTGAAGAAGCAGGAAGGAACGACACACGGAAAATGTGAGAGGGGACAAAGGGACGTCCCGTCGGCCTGTCCCTTAGCAAGTTCGTGTCCTTCTTTCCCCCTCCACTTCCCGAATAAGGTACCCATCGGAAGGTCTGACAGTGACGCGGTTTCTCTGGCTGAGTGAAGACTTATGGCACTCTGCCTTGAGAGTCGAGACTGAAGAGTCAAATGGAACTTGGAAGGCCGCTGATGAGGGTCTTCAACCTGGAACGGGCCAACTCACACCTCTCCACCTACCTGCAGGGTTGCGGACTTGTTGTGAATGTCAATCCCTTTTCCACAGCTTCTATTTTCCGCACACGTACCCAGTTGCCTCGTATCGACAACTCGCAGCTCCAGCCCATTCGTTGGATTCTCTGACCGTACCAGAAGGGGGGGAAAAACCACACACAAAAAAACCCCCAAAAAAAAACCTGCAAGCTGGCAGCTGAAAGAGATTCACGCCGTCTCTTAAGGATAGTCCTCCATCAAATATAGTATACTAGCACGACTAGGAAGCTGCGCTGTCTCCATAAAATTTCAAAATTCCATCTTGAAATCCTGCCAGGGCGATTTTGGTACATGGGAGAACCCACAAAATGATGTAAGTAACAAGCAAAGCCACCCCCCGATGATGGCCTTATCGAAGTTGATGTACGAATAAGAAATAAAAGTACCTTAGCATATTGTGCACAGTAGGATTTTTGGCGTAACCTGCCACGGACAGATACATTTCACGGTTCTACCTACCTTTGCCTACGTCGACGACGTCTTGTAATTCCCACTTCCAAGTATCCATCCGTACGCGCATAGCCGTCGAGGCAGTAGGACAACCATCACGTCCGTTCCCGCTCTGCAACTGTCCGTCGCGCTTTGGCCTGTAGGCCGCTGCCCAGGCCGGAGTAGCCTAATTGCAACTTAGCCAATCCCGTTCGTCAATAATTCAATCTCAACATGGCACGGCCGAGATTCGATCGAGACAGGTCGACCCAATCCGAGCCGATGACAGCGAACTAACTGGCCATTGCCCCGATCCGATTCCATGAGCTTTCAATAATGCGGCACCACGATGCAAGAAAAAGGGAGAACACTCCAAAGAAAATGGATTACACTCACACTGGCACACCCTCGTCAATAGTCGGCGGATTAAAGCTCCGTCACTTGCTGCGCATCCTGCGTTGCTACCAATACATGCCAGGGCGAGGCTCAAAGGGGGAATGTTCATGTCGCCTTGAACACCCGTGTTGGTTTGGTCCGTCTTGGTCTCGTCGGCTGCCTTGCCGCCCCAGACTTGACCCCTGTTTAGGAAGGTTTGTTCCCCTGCGGAAATGGACGGTCAAACGGCGTCTTGCTGCTCTCCGCCGTTGAGGGGCCGGGCCTCTAGTGTACTTTCGCGTCCGAGTATGGCGCATGCGGGCGCTTCTGGTTGGCAGGGGTCGGAGATCACAGATCTGACGATGGCCGCTCGTGGGTGCATGAGCAAGCCGCAAACCATTTTTATTGCCTTGAGCTCATGCCTCATGTGGGAATTCGGTTTACGGATAGGCCATTCACCATGGTTAGACTAAAGGTCCGTCGGTAAGAGACAATTCATAACAAGCTCATACCGTCAGGCTAGGGAGAATTAGTGAGCCAAGGCTATTTCGAAGCAGCAACCTGTGCTGTCAATCTCTCGCGTTAGACGTCGTGTCTGATGGGGACACCACAGATACAATAACTTCTGTCTCCTGCCGTTAAGACCGGCCATGTCCGTTGTCGGAGAATTGCTCGTCATCAAATGGAGCGGTGAAAACCGAACGTGGTTTCTTATCACGAAATGGGTAACATCACGAGATACGAGCTCTTGGACCCCGTCTCACTATTGCTTGTTGCCCAAGTAATACTATGTGAGTGGAAACATTGAAATCCTCCCGAGCAATCCACCAGCCAGGGCTCTTGGGCGCGGCCTCGGGCTAGATTCGACTACTAAGCTCTGTGCTTGGCTGTAGGTTAGCCCGACATTGAAATTTCTTGTTTCTTTTCATATTCTAGCCACATTATTCCTTTCACCCAGACTCATAAAGTCTCCTAACGTATGTTCAAACCATCAAATTGCCCTCACCCTGGACGATGGCCAAAATCTTGAAGGATGCTACCCAGCTTAGTAGCTCTCATTTTCTACAATGCTTCACTTGCAACTCATAGTCGACATCGAATCTTGGTGTACCTCAATGTTCTTGGCGCGTTTTTTTTTCCCCCGATGAGTTGAGTGAACCTGCAGTGCTCACATGTAAACCTGAGTGAGTGGAAACTCAAGCAAGAGCGACCGGTAGCACCGAACATTCAGTCTCCCAGGCCGTCTTCAAACCACAATTTGGTTGGTTCCCGCCCCGAGTGACTGCCCGGCCAATGACAAGCTACCCCGCCCTTTCTCAGATGCGCTCACAGAATTTTTTTTTAAACTTCTGGCGCATGGCACAACCTCATGACTTTGAAGTGAATACTTTGTGTAACGAGACGCCAGAAACCCCCCCATGACAAGCATTTGAATCCCGAGGAAACATCCACAAGATTCAAGAGGTCGGGAAAACCGTGACCCCCCGGGCTCTGTGAAATTAGCTTCAAAATTGCTGCCTTTTTGTTTCACCCACACTTGGACATCCAAATTGGTCACAGAAACGGCGAGACCCGTCTCAACCAGAATATCTCGAGAGTTACGCCTCCAAGGAAAGAAGACTCGAACTCACTTCTACTCGCCCCTAAATCAAGGCAACTCACTCGAACCCAGTATCTCACACTCACACTCACATTCACCAACATCGCACATCTAACCATGTCGTCATCATCCACCACCGAAACCTGCCGCCTCGTGGTCCTCTGCTCCGGCTCCGGCACGAACCTGCAAGCCATCATCAACGCAGTCGCCGACGGCACCGTACCGCGAAGCAAGATTGAAAAGGTCATCGTCAACCGCAAGACCGCCTACGCCGTCCAGCGCGCGGAGAAGGCGGGCATCCCGACGCGGTACTTCAACCTCGTCTCGGGCGGCTTCACGGCCAAGGGCGAAAAGGACGAGGCGAAGCTGCGCGAGGGCCGCGGCCGGTACGACGCGGCGCTGGCCGAGCTCGTGCTGCAGGACAAGCCGGACCTCGTCGTCCTCGCCGGGTGGATGCACGTGTTTAGCGCGCCGTTTTTGCGGCCGTTGGAGGCTGCCGGGGTTCCGGTCATTAATCTCCACCCGGCGCTGCCTGGTAGGTTTTCTGAACTCCCTGTGATGCTCTAGAGGCAGAAGGGGGAAAAGGGGGAAAATTTTGTGATGTGTGCAAGATTATGTGACTAATACTGCTCGTCAGGCCGTTATGATGGTGCCAATGCGATTGGAAGGGCATACGAAGATTTCCAGGCCGGCAAGCTTGAGAACAACCGGACCGGAGCAATGATTCACTATGTCATTGAGACGGTGGACCGTGGAGAGCCTGTTCGTCTACTCCCGGAGGTGTTCCCCCTTCCCCAGTCGCACGTTATGCTGACGAACGGCCGTGATAGATCCTCATTGAGGAGGTTGAGATTCGCTCGGGTGACAGCCTGGCAGATGTGGAAGAGCGTATGCACAGCGTCGAACACGGTCTCATTGTCAAGGCCACCGCAAAGGTCGTGCAGGAGATTTTGGAAAGGAAGAAGCAATAGATCGAAACATTGGCAGTAATGGGGCAAAAACGTTGGGGAGCTTTCGTGACACAAGACTTCAACATCGTCACACGTCATCAATCAGACTCACCGCTAGGTGTTGTATGAGCCTAGGTTCAGTTTCTGGCGCCAGCTCCTTTGGTCTCTTCCAGATGCAGTGCCCAGCTTATATGGCCAGTTATATTGGCTTCATGCAAAATCCGGAGTCAAAGGCTGGGCGAGCGTTCATTGGCCCTCAAAGAGTCATCAAATTATGGACAGGCGCAGTTGCCCATCTAACACGGCGAAGAGCCGGGCAAGCCATGTCTGCATGGGAAGGGAGAGCTTGCCAACCCAATGGATGACCCGTGAGGGCGACATTTTGAGGAAACATAGCCCAAGTAGAATCACATAAGGAGCTAGAACAGGAGTCAATCCAGCGGCTCTTCTCTACTCAGCTCGGTTCTATAGGGGGAACACTCAATGAAACAAATCTCTGAGCCAATGGACCACAGATCTCGGGATGCGGCCGCCAAGCGACATCCCTAGTCATGATCTCTGGTGGTCTTTTGTCGGTTACTGATGATCTGAAGGCAGTAGGGAGACCTCAGGAAGAAGAAGAAGAAGAAGAAGAAGAGTTTCTGGCAACAGTTATTGAGTCCCAAAGAACGGAAGACGTGAATAACATCGTCCATCACAAGAATGGAGCTCAAGCCCCGAATCGGCTCGAGTTCGGCCTGGTGCCCATGTCCAGGCAGCAACCAAAGCCGAAGTCAGCAAAACGGGGGTGCATCCGTGCCAGTCTCCGAATCGTGTATTTTTATTCTTTCTTTGGAGTGTGGAAAGGATAAGCTGTCGTGATTATGAAAGGGAAGCCGGAGCCGGAGCCGAAGCGGAGGGTCCCTCATCAGTTGAATCAGGTGATGGCGGCCAGGTACAAAAAAAAAAAAGGTTCGCCAAAAGTTGCTGCGAATGGGAAGAAGATGCGGCTCTGCTGAGATGTTCTGCAGGTCCACGGCCCGGGGAGGGGGAGGGGAGGGGAGGGGAACCCCTAACCAACTTCCTTATTGAGGAGCCAATGACGAGTGCAGGGCTGAAGGAATTGGGTAAACGTGGGAGTTGAGCCAGGGTTTCTTGAGTCTTTTTGGCGTTGAAGGACAAGAGTATATCGTCCTCTCTATCTTGCTGTCACTATTTGGTTGCAAGTATGTATACAGATAATGTCTAGGGACTATTCGCAAGTCCTGGGTTACCATCGAACATGCCGTAATGCCAAGCCACGGCGCTATGCAAGCATTATCACTAGAAACCCCGTCGTCTCTTATGCCGGAGTTGAGACGGGAGGCAACTTGATTGTCCGTTTTTGCCGATGTGCTGCGCCTCGGAAGGAGTCTCGAAAGATGAGTTCCTAACCTAGGAAAGGGGAAGGGATAAGCAGGGTCGAGTTGGGAACAAACAGTTACCGTTTGATCTGAATCTTGGCGGTGGCTCGAGTAGAGCTTCCTTTTGGTAAGTGATGGGAATGGTTCAGACAATTGGGGGCCCTGGAGGCTGGGGGTACCTCAGATAGTTTGAACTTAGTCAGTTGGTGCTCGGCTAAACCAACTCTGGGAAAAGGCAAGACAAGACGGAGTACGGAGTATGTATGGGGGGGAACGCGGGCCGGGGGGGTTGAAATGGATTATGAACTCGGAAGTGGCGGTAAAAGGGCAGGTTGAGTCGGGGGGAAAGGGCACTAATTTGCCATGTTGGGGCCCTTGGGGGCTGTACTCAACTTTTTTCACTCAGGACTAGCCGAATCAATCTAACGAGATGAGAAAGTATTGGCGCGACTGTGAGCTCTCCACAAGGTACTTACTGCGTATGTGTGTGTATGTGTACGGAGTATGTGTGAGTGCTCTGGTTGAGTTCAGAGCTCAGAGAGAAGATGAAGAAGAAGGGCTGGCGAAGTTATGCAATGAAGTCATGAACCCGGCAGCTGAAAGGTCAAACCTAGTTTCGAGTGTCCCCCCCAAGGTAAGAGAGGCTTGATGTTGCACCAAGTGCCAGAAACCCCAAGAGTCCGTGGGTTGCTGAGGACCTTCAAGAGATGGTGGCCTAGGTACCTATGGTCCATGGAGGGAGGGACCATTCAGAATGGCAGAACGAGACACGGGAGACAATGCTGAAGGGCCGACACCGGCTCAAAAGGCAACTTGGCGCGAGAACGTCCCCGTTTTCCAGCTGAAAGCTCCAATCTTTTTCTACAATTGCCTCGCCCTAACTGAGAGTGTCGCGACCTGGTTGGCTGGGGGCGTTCTTGGAAATGGAAATGGGCAAACCTTTTTTCTTTTCTGGCTGAGGCCAGGGCCGGGGGGTTTCGTTCTTCGGGTGGACGGGAAGGGCAACTCGAAACTACCTTAGGTAATGTTTGTATCTGTACGTATCTGTGCTCGTACTGAGTGTAAGTTAGGTACTAAGGTACGGATAGATAGGCCAAGGTACCTTACCTTGCCTGTCTGCCTTGCCTCGATGATGACAGGGGAGCTCCCTCGTTGCCCATCTGATCAGCGAAATAGGTACTCTGTAGACAACGAGAAAGAGCGAGAGAAGGGGAGAGAGAGAGAAGGACCAACGTACCTGGAAAAGCGCTCAGAGGAGCTACAGCAGAATCCATGGCGTTGCGCAGGTTCAAACGCCAGTAGCCACTCCTCCGATACAACATTGGTCGGGTCTGCCAACGCCCGTACCGTGAAGCTCCCCAAGCGTCTCTTGGTTTTGTCGAATCGTAGCCCCAGGAAGCTCTACGCGAGTGTGAGCTCTCTCGAAAAGGTCCCCTCCCCATCCAAACCAAGCCCCCAGACCCCAACCCACTGTCTCGCCGCGTCTTGCCTTGCCTTGCCTTGCCTTGCCTTGCCTTGCCTTGCCTTGCACGGTAAGTACCTTACCTTGCCGGCTGCTCGTCTCCTCAGACCCTCCGGGTCCATACTGCATACTCCGTCACTGGGGCCGCCTTTTTTTTACACGTCCACGCGCGCCGGGACCTGCCAATTCACAGCTTGGAGCTGCCTGCTGCACGCCGACCACGAGATTATCAATCTCATCTATTATCTTGGCCTTCTCCCTCGCATCGCGCCGGCTACTCTTCCCTTTTTCTCTTCTCTCTCTCTTCCTCCTTCACTTCAATCTCACTTCACCTACCTACCCTTCCGCCTAGCTCCACTCCATTCTCTCTGTTCCTCTTCCCTGGTCGTCTCCCTCCCAATTCGACCTCTGCCGTCCTTGCCTCTCTTTCTTTTCCTCCGGCCACGATGAGCTCGCCGCAGGATCATCGCTCGAGCAGCCCTCGAGTAGGCTCATTCAAACGTCCCTCAGTACTCAATGCCGATAGCGACCCATCACTTCTGGCCACCAGAGGCAGCGGCGCCTTGGTATCGCTCATCCGGAACCGCTCCAATGCCACTCTGCGAGAGTCGCTCAAGAGCCCGGCCTACCACCAGCTAGGTCACGACGAAGAGGAACATGAGAGCACCTCTCTGCTTGGCTTCCTGCACAGGGACTCGGACGATGACCACCACCACCGCTCCGCCGCCGAGGAGCGCCGTCTAAGCGAACTCATTTTCGGCCCTCAGATGAGGAGCATGCGCCTTATCGGCAACAGCAACCCGCGCTATCAATGGGAGCGCTACTGGAAGACGGAGGCTGAGCTTGAGGTTATGCCAAAGCATATGTGAGTTCCTGCTGTGCAATCTTGCCGCCCCGGATTGCCCAGGCGCAATTCGGGGTTCACAGTCTAATCCCCTACTCCGTCGACTGCTGTCCGTGTACCAGTTTGCGAGTTGAGTTGCGAGTTGCTAATGTGCATTGTCAATTCCTAAAGCCGCGAATATTACGAGAGAAACAACGATTTGATTCGCATGTACCTCTACATCGACCAGCTCTTGGATTCATCCGTGCCCCACGATCTGCTCAACGAGTATCACCAAGCTCTAGACGCCTCGGCCTACCGCCCAGTCGATGTCCCCCAGACCATTACCGAGGAGTCGCCAACTCCCACCTCACCACCGTCCAGAAGCGGACTCACTTACGGCAGCACTGCTGCTTCAGCCCAAAACAGCAGCACGGAGCAGAGTAGTTCGGCAAACAGCATACAGCAAAAGGCGAAACGCAAACCCAAGGACATTTTTCGGTCCACCGAGGCGACCCCACTTCTCAGTGGCTCTGATGAGGAGGAAGGTTTAGCCGATCAGCCCAAGCCCGAGATCCCATGGCTCGAAGACTCCGACCTCGACAGCAGCGACCCCATCGTCACTTTGGCCATTTGGGTCAATTTTATCGCAAACGCAGCTTTGCTAATCGGAAAGATTCTTGTCGTCGTTTCGGTACCTTCAGTCTCAGTCCTGGCCAGTTTGGTCGACGCGGTTCTCGACTTTCTCAGCACCGCAATTGTGTGGACGACAACTAGGCTCATTGCCGCCAGCCAAAATGACCAGCATTCATATCCTGTGGGCAGACAGCGGTAAGTATCAATTTTACCCCCTTACTTTTTTTTGTTCGCGATGCTGCCTCCGCGTTGCATTCCGAGCCGCGTGCTGACTCGCTACAGTCTCGAGCCTCTTGGCGTGCTGGTTTTCTCCATCGTAATGGTTACATCCTTCTGCCAGGTCGCTCTGGAAGCTATCCAGCGTCTCATGTCGCCCGACCACGAAATCGTTCAGCTGTACGTCTCAGTCGCTCCGCAATTTTCGCAGACTCGCAATGCTAACTTCGCGGGAACTACAGCGGCATCCCGGCCATCTCCATTATGGTTGGTACCGTGGTGATCAAGGGCTTGTGCTGGCTCTGGTGTCGTCTCATCAAGAATTCGAGCGTTCGGGCGTTGTAAGTTGATCTGGCACCCTGCTCCTCTTTCGTCGTAACCTCAGCGTTTGCGTCGCAACGGGTTTACGTAGCCGCCTCCTGATCGGCGCCTATCATGGAACATGGGGAACTTTCATAACTAACTCTTTGGTTTTCTCCATTCTGCAGGGCCGACGACGCCATGACCGATGTCATTTTCAACACTGGCTCCATTCTGTTCCCCATTGTTGGCTACTTTGCCAAAATTTGGTGGCTCGATGCCCTCGGTGGTCTTCTGCTGTCTCTCGTCGTCATCGTCAACTGGAGCGGAACCTCGATGCATCATGTCCGAAACCTGACGGGCTTTTCGGCGACTTCGGATGAGAGAAACCTCCGTGCGTAACTTCTTTTCTTCCTCTCTTGTCCCCTTCTTTTGCCATCTAACTTACCGTTTCGTCCCCCCCACATTTTCTATACTTAGACCCTGTTATAACACCCCCTTGTCATGCCTTTGTTTCCTCTTTCCCTCCTCCCCTTCATTCAAACCTTAAACACGTACTACAAGCTGTAGAGCCAGTTGACCAGTTGATGCATCAAACATTCAGTGAAATCATCCATGAACTAACATCATTACTTCGATAGTCCTTTACCTTACCATGCGCTTCGCCACGTCCATCAAACAGATCCAGAATCTGCGGGCTTACCACGCGGGCGACAAGCTCTTCGTTGAGGTCGACATTGTTCTCAATGCCAACATGCCTCTGAAGGATAGCCACGATCTCAGTGAAGTTCTGACGTATTTCCTCGAGTCGGTGCCCATCGTCGACCGCGCTTTTGTGCATGTCGACTACGCAACGTACAACGTTGACACGCACATCACTTAATAGTTGTGCAGCGAAAGCGTTGCTGCATGACACAAAACTCTGTAATATCAAGTACGGGCTATATATTCTGGCAAACCTTGTCAACATTCTTCTCAATCTCTCCGCATCTCTTGCAACGGTCAGAAGCGTCGGTAAATCACCACCCCAGGGCGGAAAAGAGTGGGCGTCATGGTGTAAGGTCAGCAGGAGTATGGGGCTGGAGACAAACTATGAAAAGAAGGATCAGGTCACAAAAAAAGGCAGCATCTTGGGTGGGTTAGCATTTTGAAAGCGATTTAGTGGTTCATGGCCATTGTTATATATCTTATGTTTATTTGCTCGGTGTATCTGGTTGGCTACAAAAAAGAAACAAGGGGCGGCTGTCTCCCATTTTCCCTTCCGTCCCGTCAGTGTGGGGATCGACAGGGTCTTTGGATGTTGTTTTGTTTGAGAATCCCCCGAAAGTTTCAAACATGATTTTTTTTTTTTTAACATCTGGATTGTCGATCGACGACAAGGAAGTATAGCTCAGGGGGGGTCGGAGGGATACATAGGGTACCTAGTAAAGAAAGACGAGGGAACGCAAGTAGCAGGATATACTAGGGACGGCGATGGTGTGGCGCAAAGTTGAGTGAAAACAGAACACAAAACCATTCATCTCTCTCAATTGGATTATTATCAATATGACTGCTAATTCCGTCAAAGGGCGGACGAGGTCCCGGTCTGTGCAACAAGATCACTGCACAGGCGTGTGGTGCTGCTGGTGCGACGGGGCGGCGTGCGGCGCGAGGACCCGTGTATAATATCTCAAGCCGGAATTAGGATTCTACAGAGGCGGCAGCGACGAATCAACATGAGGGCCATAAGCAGAAAGTCAAAACTAGACAAAATAAGAATCCTTCCCTCTTTCTTGTCCTCCAGCCTCCTCCCATCCTCAGATACATGCGCAAGCAAGCGTAGATTAGTAGGGAATGCCGTTGGTAAGCAGCTGAAACTGGTCGTAGACACCGGTCGAGTAACTGTTGGCGCTCCTGCGGATGAGGTCCTTGACAAAGTCGGCCGCCTCGCGCTCGCTGCGCTCCAGCACGAAGCGCTCCTTGAAGTGCTGCACGCTCTCGGGCTTGAAGCACGGCAGGCCAGAGTCCATCATGAGCAGCACGATCTGGCTGAGCTTCTCGCAGTGCTGGCGGGACGCGAGGAAGGCCTTTACGCACAGCTCCTCGAACCACTTGAAGGCCTGGTGGTGCGGGCTGCCGCCCATGACGGCGAGCATCTCCGTCGTCAGCTTGAAGGGCGCGCGCTCGAACTTGATGCCGCCCGGCGCGATGTCGAAGCAGAAGCCAAAGTCAATGTGCAGAATGTGGCCCGCATCGTCAATCATGATGTTTCCGTTGTGTCTGTCCTTGAACTGCAGGAGGAAGGAGATGATGGAGTAGGCGGCCATGCTCTTGACAAAGTTGCTGCGGGCCTGCTGGAAGCGGAGCGAGTCTTCGTTGCCGTACTTTGAGATGAAGTAGTCGTAGAGGCCGTTGACGGCCTCACGGCCGAGCATGTCGCGGGAGACGGAGTTGGGCAGCACGTCAATGACACCGCAGCCAGGGGCCGTGGCTGTGACGCGGTACGGGTTGACGTAGACATCTAGGCCGACGTTGTGGAAAATGCCTCGGAACGCCGCAATCATCTGCAGGGCAAGAACGTCCTGTCTGCAGTCGTCGCCAACCTTGAAAATGGCAGACTGCCACACTTCAATGGTGTTTTCCTGCGCCGGCGGCAAGTCCTTCTTGTGAACATCCTCGAGCATATCATTAACATCATCAAGGCTGCCCTTGTTCTTCTTGATGCGGAACGTTGCCATGTAGGGCGCCTTGGCGTGACTCTGGAGAGGCTTGCCAGACTTGCGATCGATGCCAATCACGACACCATCGGGGTTACTCGGAAGGTAGACGCCAATCTCAACCTTGATCTTGCGCAGTTCCTCCTCAATCTTCTGTGCCTTCTCCGGCTTGGGCCGGCCGACATATGGCTTCAGTTTGCCCGAAATGTCAGTGACCTCGTCGAAGAAGGCGAACTCTCGCTCGTAGAACGTTCTGTCCACATCAGAGAAGCTTGCAATCATCTTCTCCATAACCTTGTCGAGGGTAGGCTTGATTGCATCAGGCTATTACGTTGTTAGCATCGCACGTAACCGCAGCCTCTTGTCCAACTCACGATAGTTGCGTCGTCATCCTTGTAGGCGTTCGCCTTCATGTTCCAGATGATCTGATGCGCGAACAGCTGCGAAAATTGAGCGGTCTCCAGGATGTACCGTTCCACATAACCCAGTGCGTCGTAGCGCAGCGTCTGCACAATTTGGGGCACGTAGAAGAAAGTCACATCGCTGGAGTGGCTTTCCATTGCCCTCATTGCGTACTGGATAAGGAACGGATGGTTCCGATACGCAGGCAGGAAATACGTGGCAGCCGTGATCGGGTTCACTGGCGACCAGAACAACAAGTACTACGATAGTCAATATCGAACTACAGGAAGCCAGGGATGTCACTTACCTTCAGTTGGAAGCTAACATCGTTGGGCAAAGAGCCACCCAGAAGAATGGGAAGACCCTCCGGCTCGGAGATGGCCTTCTGCGGGAAGTTGATCAACAGCCATCTCACCTCGCGTTGGACACGGGGATAGGGGAATCGAGTGACCAGTTCAATAGCAATAGACGGGTCCTCGGCCCAGGCAACACGAATGAGGGGCGCGAGAGCAGTCTGCACTCACTGTTAGTAACATTCCCAGATTGCAAAAGTCACCACGTACCTCGATAGCAGCCTTGTTAGATTGTCCGTGAGCCTTGGTGGGCTCGCCGAGCGGGTGAACCCACACCGACAAACGCGTTTGTTCGCTCTCAAGTAGGAAAACGAGAAGTTGCTCCTTGGCCTGCAGGGACTTGATCGTGTCTGCAGCGTTGGCTCCGATGAATGCAACATGCTTCAATGCCGCCACGATGTCGGTCAAGAGACGAAGTTCCGTCTTCAGCTGCAGGATGTTGCTACCGAAAGACCATCTTGGAGCGTAACGGAACCAACTGAGTGCGGCAGACAAAATCTTCTCCTTGAACCGCCATTGGGCGATGGCGCCAATGGTCGTACAGACATGCAGCACCTTCAATCCGAACAATACGATCTGAAACCGGAGTTCTCGTGCCATCGGGTGAGGAGTCGATGATCGCACAGCATCCAGAGTGACATCGAGCATGCGCAGGAAGACTCGCTGGACATCCGGACTACCCAAGCGGGTGGCATTAAAGTGGCTAGCGAAGAATTGCAACAGCCTCATGTGGGGAGACAGCAGATTGTGCACCTGCTGCTTGCGCTTGGCCAAGGCCTCAAGATCACTGGGCGCAAACTCTTCCTTCAGGAAGAATGGGTCAGGATGCCTGACAACTCGTTAGTCGTGTCTAAAGGAGGGAGTCAGATGACTTACGACATTGCATGGCTAAAGAGCCCGAGGCCGCTCTGGATGGTCGCCTCCCATTGTTGAGCAATTTCGGTAAGAAGTCTAGGCTCGAGGCGTGGGTTCTCGTTCATCACACCCAACCACAGGGAAACGCCCAACTTGATAGACTGCTTTGTGAACATGGCGAAGGGAATGCTGACGAGGTAATGCGCAACAGCGGACTCATCACGGTTGCTGCGGCAAAGCAGGGCTGCGGCTCTGCGAAGGATATCGCGGACTTCGGTAAGAGCAGTGGTCTTCTTGCTCTTGATGCGGGCTTCAACGTGCGCCAGAGCGGTGGCGGCGTTCGCACTATCGCTAGCACTCGATCCTGACGACTGCAAGAAAGACGCTCTACGGTTCAACTGCATGAAGTTCACAAGTTCATTGCCACGTTCGGGTAGAGTCTCGCCATATCGGTACTCTTGACGAGTGGTATACTGAGCAACGAAGTCAGATCCAGTGTTGATACTGCAGTCTCCGACTCGATCGAGGGACTGCAGTCTTTGGTCGGTTGACGGCATGAGAGAGCCAAGCTCGATAGCAAAGGAGCGACCCAAAGAAATGTGGCCATATGCTCCTTCGTCGTCGAACTCGGACAAGTACGTCTGTAGAAGACCCTTGATGTCCAGGGGTGCTATGCTGATAACGCTCGAGACCCATTGTTTGGCTCTGCGATTCAGAACGTCCAAAGTATGGCGGCGGAATGTGTAATCGTCGGATAGCTCGACGGACACATCTCCGAGGCTGGAGGTGAATTTGGATCGTGGTGCGTACAGATCTGTCTCGGCTTCCAGGCAGCTGGACCACATCAGAGAAAGGAGTTCCAGCAAGGCGAAGAGCGACGATCTGTGGCAGAGAGCAGAAGGAACCTGAGTGATGATGCGGTCCGCACAAGTAAAAGCTGCTTGCTGAACTCGCTCGATCCGATGACAGCAGCCACAGAAGATGGCAACGAGCTGTGCGGCAGCATACTGAGCAGAGAAGGTGGCATCTGTACCGCCTAGAGTCTTTCGCAAATACTTGTCCACTACAGCGGCAGCAATGCCCTCCATGGTGCTGCTGACCTCACCTCTACGCATGCTGGGCTCCAAGAAGTACGAGAGAGCCTTGGTGCAATCTCCAGCATCCGCTCGGAGACTCTCAACCAAGTAAGCGGCGTGCAAGAAGATCACCTTGCGGTAACTTAGTCCCTTGATTTCTGGAGCCTTATTAGGAATCAACTCGGTGAGATGCCTCTTCTGCAGCGACTCTCTGTCGGAGCTCATGCCTCGGCGGAGGACGGTGTTAAGCTCGATGTCACTCTCAATCTGTTCCCCTCGCTGTTCAGCAACCAGAGGGGGCGAATGAACGGCCATGATTCGAAGCTCATCAAGATAGGTCTTGCCCATGTCGGTCTGCGTAGTGAAGCCGTGGACAACAATGTTGAACCATGCATCTCTGATCATTGAGTGAGACTCGTCATCAGTAATAGTGTTGAATGCCAGATCGTTGGTGGACATGAAGACGGCCAAGGGATGCAGCAGCTCCGCAATCTCTCGGGC